AGGAATGGTACTGGGCTCTTAAACATGCACTAGCATCAGTTGACATTTCATTTTTCTTTTAAAAAGAAATCCTAAAGTCAGTTTTGTGTGGAGTACTACTATGTAAAAGATTCCTTCCAACTGACATATGATCTCCTCCTTGCCTCTAGGCTTTCTAAAGAAAACAAATATAGCACTCACAGGAGCTCCACAGCATACAATGTCCTGTACAGCAAGGGGGGTGTTGGCTTAGCCATACCAATACTCTCACAAAGTACCAACAGCCACAATATCGGACCACCTTCCTGCCTAAAACAATGCTGAAATCAGTACAGTATTCTAAGTAATAATACAGGTATCCAAACACAAAGTATTTTTAGGGTTGTTTGGGGTTTTTTTAACAGACAGAACTTCAGTACTATCTCTTTGAAAGCATTTGTGTGATCATATTTATTTAACCACTCTAGAATTGGTAGTCTGGTCTCTTTTTATTCTCTCTGTCCTCTTCCCCTAGTTGTTCTAATTTACCATCACCCTGTCCCTCCTTTCTCTCCTTTTCTTCTTGGTACAGTGAGCCTTGGCTGTTTTTAATGCTCTGTGCCTTCCCTGAGCCAGTTAGATGCAGTAGCAGAATTTTAATATATGCATACATGAATAATATAGAATTGATTTTCAGAACTCAACTGTAACATCCTATGTCAGATGGAGGACTGTCCTGTCCTTAGGTACAAAAAATGGTACCTAAGGACAGCATTCTGGTCCCATTCTGGTGATGTTTCTTGTGCCTGCTCAAGACATGCAGTTATAGGAGATGCTGATGTGCTATATGCTATAGAAATGAGGTTCCTCTGTTTTTTGGAGCCTCATGTTGCATGTGTTCCATCTTTCTGCAATTCCTATCAGTGGAACTGGATTTGAAACAGGAAAAGGAAAAAAATTTGTTCTTTTTAGTTGTGCTACCTTGGGGAGAGAATAACTAGGTATGATTTTGCAGTCACTTAGCAGTATGTGAGGTCATCTCAATCTTATGAGTTACATTAAAACATGCATCTTATTTTTAGGGGGAGGAAATGAGCTACTTCTGCTCCTCAGAGGTTATTTGGAAAAGGTTGTTTCAGCTCATGAAGGGAGACATTGCCACATAACATATGAAGACATAAATTATGGCTCAGGGAAAAATGTACTTTGAGCAATTGGCTGGGTAGCTGGAAAAAAAATGAATATAGCTGGATCTACTAACTTTGTTCTTCAGAGAATGATGTTTAATTGGATGCTGTTCTAAGCAGACAATACTTAGATTAGGCTGCTTTTACAGGCATGTCTTTAATCATCAGCAAGATGTATATTGAATCTCTGTGGATGAAACATCAGCTGTCTGTGGTATTCTGGAAGACATTATTCTCACTTCTTGAGGACTCATGCCCCAGCAGTGTAGGCTAAATGTACTTCATGGTGAAGGTTTCTGGGAAGTCTTAAAAGGACTCATTCTTGGAAGACTTGAGGAAATAGAGTCCTGTAAATAATGATACCTACTTACATAAGCAGAATTCTTTTGGCAATGGAGGTTGGTGATAATGTCAAGGGGGAAAATTTCCTACTTGTACTTCATTTCCTCATTTAATGGCCACTATCCATTAATTGAATACCGAGAAGAAATGGACTCTTACTACGTGACTATGTGTGGTATGGGCATGTTAGTAACTTCTGTGGAATGCAGGTTTGGCCCTGTCTGTGGGAGTGTGCAATGTTAAATGTTCATGAAAACGCTGGACAGGCTGTGCAGGATGCCAGATGGCTTGCAGCCAACAGTGTTTGAATGCATAGAGCTGCCACTGGCCCTGATGAGCCCTTGACCCCAGCACGTGCATGTGAATACAGCAAGGAATGCTTGACTTAAAACATCTTATTAAGCAGAGAAACATTATTGTAGCGGGTTCTCTAAACTATTTTAGAGGCTAAATTTAAACACAGACTCCCCGTGTCCCCAGCTGAAAGCCAAAATATGTTAGGACTAGCAGAACTGTACTCGTCACTGTTATGCTTTGGTCGTAGTCTATACATTGTGTCTTGTTCTATACTTCAGTGGTATTTATTTGGAACTAAGAAAGGTTGGGCCTCTGAGTTCTATCAGGAAAACTCAATTTAATTTTTCTTTTTGTTTCTTACTGCAGATCTGGATAGGTTCTGATAGCAGCAACAGTGAAGCAGTAGAGCAGTGGAAAGATACTATTGCCAACCCTGAAAAAGTCGTCATTAAATGGTACAGCGTTGGTCCATCTTGAAGACTGGAGATGAAATTCAGAACTCATTTTTCTACAATTCCTATGCTGTCTAAAATAGTAGAAATAAAAAGAAAAATATTATCTACACAAGTTCTTCAGAAGTTCTCCACTGCATCATGCCTCCAAGGAAACTGGGAGCATTCAGTCCTTCCATGAGAAATACTGGCTAAATATTACTGTTAAGAAGATGATGTATAACTGGGAAATGTGCTCTTCCAATTTCAAAAAATCCATCTTGAAAAGCAGATTTTTGCCCTTTTCAGGCTCTGTAAAAGCACAGAAATTGTGTCTTGAAGAGAAGCAGCTTGGAATCAACTCCATGCTAACATCATCCTCATCTGCAGTCTTCTTGTTGGCAGACTCCAAAGTCCATGGCAATCAGTCTCGTCAGTGGCTTGGTCCTAGGTACCTCTGAGCCTCTGAGGTTGTTGACACCATTTGATCAGAGTAACATCTGCTCCAGCAAGTGGGAAAGCTGTGGCAGTAGAAGACATAAAGGAAACTACACAGTAAGGCAGTAGCTAAAGGCTTTTCTAATCTCCATTTTTGTTGAAGGGTTGTTCACTACCCTGACATGCCTGTACCTTGGGTTTGCCCCCACCCTTCCTCCCAAACAGAAAGATGGTAAGATAAGAATTTCTCTGTCTTACTGATCTTTGCAAGTGAGGCCCTCCAGACTTACTCATTGGGTAAATTCTGGTTGGAGTCAATGGAACAATACAAAGAGGCAATGATCCTGCCTAGGACCAAAGCCAGTATTTTTGGATAAATTACTCTCTTATATAGAATTCACTTCCTATCTAATCAACAATGCTCTAGCATTTGCTTACATTGCCAAAGCCCAGACTAATATGTACCAAGAAGTAAGCAAAGACTTACTGACATAAGTGCTTTTTGATACAAATTCAAATGCAGCACTGCAAGGGACTCAGACTTTGTTTAAAGCATGAGCTTACTACTGCAGAAGTGTTTGTTACATGTTTAGGATGCTGAAAAGTTATGCGTGGGAGTATATTTTTGTTACTTGTTTCTAGTAAGAAGAAATTACCACATTTTTATTGCAAATTATATTTTTCCTACAAAATCCTCAGATTATTTTTTTCTGTTAGCTCCCATATTTTCAGGGGTTTATTCACAGTTATTTTTAAGGGAGTATATATTGATAATATGTATGTCTAAAAGCACAGACCTCTTTGCACTACTTTAACTATCGGATTGGAAAAATACATATCTATTCCACTAAATCCACTGCTTACACATTTACTGTTGGCTTTGTCTGGGCTGTACAAATATGTATGTTCCTATAGACACTGAATAATTGTTTTTGCATAGCTTGGATCCAGTTCCAATATCTGACATGCACTAAAGTGGTAGTGAGAGCACTCACTGCTGGAAGGCAAAGGAACACAGGGAGCAGGGAAAACACTGTACCAAGAAAGCAAGTCCTATTGAAGCATACAGCTTGCAGCATCTTTACTTCAATGTTTTTGACTCTGAATAAGGGTCAAGAAAAGATGGGATCTCTTAGACTTAATTTTTTATCAGTTGATAATTGAAACTTTTAAAACTTCAACCATCCAGATTTTTGTTGTTGAAATTCAATATTTTGAAAACAAAAGGATTTTCACAGGCTCTTACATGTTCTGCTTTTTTACCAGACTTTATCAAAGAACTGAAAAAAGAGTTTGCATATTACTTGGAGAACAAATATTGGTTCTAGCTCTTACTGACACTGTAAAGCTCCCAATAGGCCCAGAGGTTCTTGACTTACAGCATTAGCTTCCAGCCAGTTACAGCACTTGGGCTGAGCCTGATCTGTTGGGCAAAATGAAGAAAGGAACTGGATCAAGATGATATTCTTGAAGTATTTTTACTTGAATACGTGGATCTTTCTCATTCATTGTGGCTGATCTGCAGTAAACAAAAGTGCAGACTGTTTCCTTATGCAGAATGCTGTTCTGTTTGAGAGAGGACAGGGAATATCCCAGTGTTTTGGAGACTTCAATTACCACAGCAGTGATTCTACAGAGATTGCCAACTCAGTGGATACTCTGCAAAATGGACTTTTGGGGCTGTTGTAGGACACCTAGACTTCTAAAGGCCTAACCTAGTCTCTTTATTCCTATGTTAATATTTAATCTATGTGTTTATAATAAAAGCTATGAATAGAAAGTTTCCTCTTTTTTCCCCAATTGTTTATACCAATATTTACCAGCATCTCAAACTGAAGTTAAGTCCTACCTTTTTGTCTGAGAAAATCCCAGTCAACAAACTCTGTTTCATGTAGTGTTCCCTGTAGGGGAGTTAACTGCTGGCACACTGGGGAGATACATAAGACCTCTCCTTGCAAAATGCATGCAGGTACTAGAACAGTCTGAAGAACACACCCTCTGGCACTGCTTCATCCTGTGCTTATTCCCAGGCTTTGGGGGCTTCTGCATTTGTGTGCACCCATGTAAGAATTTCATGAGTTCTTAATAATTGACTAAAGACCCTGTGGTTTTTTTCCTGTCACATAAAGCATTTTCCATTGATGATTCATTGTGTCTAGAGCTTCTGTATGGCTGTTACATTAGACAACAGTCCTGAAGAAAAAACATGAGACCAGGAGATACATGCATGATCCTAGAACAAGTCCCAGGGTACAACTGCCTGCAAAATGGGCTATTCCAGCAGGCGTCATGTCAATTTTAATGTCTTAAAACACAAGCTAGAAATCCCGTGGGACATCCTGCCTTTTAAGTGCAGATTATTTTGGTTTAGTGGTTAGTGACTGCCTCATTACAAATTCACCTGAGACTTTAGCTCCTCCAAATTCAGTTCCTGGTTTATTTGAGACTAAAGCAGCTCTCCAGAAAAGTAAAATGATGCATCATTTGAGGATCAATCCACAATATAAATCAGCAAGGAACTCTCTGTACTCCAGGATACATGCAAGAAGAAGAAAAAAGGTGTCTCGGGGCACTCCTTGAATGGTCACAGCTGTATGTTGTCCCTCTAATGCATGTTCAGCCACTATTTTGATTGTTACATCCAAATTTACTGCCATTGAAAATGCTGTTAAGAAAGCTGTTTTGTCAGTTCACTTAATTTGTAGATATAAGGCACACATGGTTTAGAGTTGGATTTGCTGTTGCTTCTAGTTAGTGACTCACTCAGCTTCCTAACTTATAACAATTCTAATGAAAGCAGCAGAGGTTCAGAAGCTGCACCAGTTTTATTTCAGACCTCTCCCAAATGGATGTGGGTGAACTGAGAGAACAGTTATGATCTTACATTAAATGTTATTCATACAGAGGTCTGTGCCTGCGTAGTTAGAAACCAACCATAGACTAAACTTAATCAGATTTTCCAAAACGTGTGTATATAATTTCACTGGTTGATCAAACAATCCTGTTTTATTTATTTATGACTAATAGCATTCTGTATGCAAACGAGGTCAACAAATTGATTTTTCAAGCTTTTACATCTCCATGGCACGGCATGGCATTCCTTGTAAGGGAAAAAAAATGTAAGATTCTACCTCAGAAGATGAGTGGGTGTAACAGTTTGTAAACCACATTATCATAAAACATTACATGGAAAATAATTGGATTTGAGCATCCTATCTTTTGTGATCACAACATAAATAGTGCCATATTGCTAAATCCATTAGGCATCCCTGGTTCTTCCTTTTGTTGGCAAGACATTTGTATAAAACAAAAGGTAATTTTGCAAGCATTCAATTAAGCACATATGTGTTTGACTTGAAAACTGTCTGGTGGAGGTTCCTTTTAGACTTATGAGTCAATTTTGCAGCCAAAACATAAGGTTGTCTAGAAATCTGGGTCAGACTTGTCCCACTTTTTACTTTGATCCTGCCAACATATGTGTGACATGGGCTGCATACTTGTGGAAAGTTTGGTATAAATCATGCTGGACATGATATACCCTCCTTATTTTTCCAGCTTCTGCTGCAAAATTACATCACCATGTCAATACAGGCCTGTGCATGATCTCATGCTTGGTGCATGGAAAAAGCCATCACTAAAATCAGCACCATGTCTCACAAACACTGCTCTAGCACATGTACATTCTTTTCTCCAGCTTGTGCTGAGGAACAGGCCATTGTCTCTTATAATCTATGGCAAAACTCCCATTGCATTCAGCAGAAGCAACCAGTCTTCAAAGCTGGTTTAGTTACTTCAGCATTGCAATTGAATGATTTATCTAACAAAAGGTTACACACAGCTTAATTTTTTAATCTCTTCACAGTTATGTTTCTGTAGGAACTGAATTTCATTGAAAGTGGATCTGTATCTCTTATAGGCAAAGTAAATATTCCCACAGATTTCAGAGCCTTTGAAATAAATCCTCTATGCTGATTTTCCCCTCATATTTCTGAATATGCAGTTTTTCCTTCCTTTTATTTCATTGTAGACTGCTCTTCTCAGCATAATTACAAATAATAAACTTGTTTAACTTTCTGCTTTTCTAGTAAGGTTTCTTCCCCTTCTTTACCTAGTACTGGGACCTGTATTATACATGTCTGACTTCTGTTTAAAGAACAAGCTATAGGCAGAAGACCTTCATCCTAGGGCTTGGCTCATGTCTGATGCTCTACATTTCTGAGCTACCTTTGCTCACAACTTCAATGGTATCATTCTTTTGGAGCTCCCCAAATTCCGTTGTTGTCTGTCACCACTGAATACAACAATGGGACAAATCAGTCATAACTTCTCATGCGTACCTGGGTATCTTCACTTGTCTTTCTCCTCCAAAAATTACCTTAGGAAATCATTTTGGTGATAAGAAGGAGTGAGTTGTTTGTGCTTCTGACCTTTGAGGACAGTAGGGTTGTTTGATTGCCACTGCAGTGCTGTGAGGCAAAGAGGAAGGCTCAAGGAAGAGTCATGAAAAGCTGCACCTCCAGGTGGAGAGAACCCTACACCTCCTGCATTTATGATCTGGGAAACACTTGTTAGCCTGGGGACTGGAATCCCTTGTCAGATGCCCAAAAGGAAGGGTCATCATACTGTACTTTTTATCCTTCTCTTG